GGGGTCGGCCACAGCCGCCGCTCGTTTGAAAGTGTGTGTGTGTATCGCGATGACAATAGCCGTCGCTGGAGGACACGCGTCGCGGCCCTGCTCTGCTAATCCGGGGGGGTGTAAGTGTGTCAGACAGGGAGAATGTGTGTGTGTGCACGTGTGTGTCATATGTGTGTGTGTATCCGTGAGACAGAGTGTGTGCGAATGTGTAAGTCTCTGTGTGTATGTGTGTGTGAGAGGGTGTGTGCCTTCAGGGCGATGACAATAGCCGTCGCTGGAGGACACGCGTCGCGGCCCTGCTCTGCTAATCCGGGGGGGTGTAAGTGTGTCAGACAGGGAGAATGTGTGTGTGTGCACGTGTGTGTCATATGTGTGTGTGTATCCGTGAGACAGAGTGTGTGCGAATGTGTAAGTCTCTGTGTGTATGTGTGTGTGAGAGGGTGTGTGCCTTCAGGAGACAGAGGGGACATCCCTGAGGCGAGGGGTGCCAGGACTTGTCTTTGTGCCCGTGCAGTCCCGCTCGCGGAAGCAGTTGCACAAAAGCCGAGACCGACCGACCCGCGCGACTCCATCCCTTTTGCTGTTGTTCCCAGATGCTTCCGTCTTCCTAGTGTTACATTATAGGCACTGTCCCTGGGATTTAGTTATTTATTTCTTTTCCTTCTTTCTGTGCCAGGTCACAGCTGGGTTGTTAGATATTGATTAGTCCTCCCTTCTGCCTTTCTCTACCATGATGGGCAGAGGCTTTAAAAACCCCTCTGGGATTTCCTGGAATGGCATGCAGAATATTACCAGTCCAGTATTTCAGGCTGCAGCACATCTTTTTCTTTTTCATGAAGCAGGATATATCACAGCTGAATCGGATCTTTTTGTTATTTACAACCTAAGAGACAGAGCATCTTCATTTGACCAGAACAAAACCCTCAAGACCCCAGAAAACAAAAATTTAAACACCACCCTCGTTTGAATAATTAGCTCATGGACGCTGAATAATTGAATAGTGTCCTTCAGTTAAAATCTTCTGTGTTTAGTACTTAGAAAGCTCGGTACTAACCATGAATTCTTTCCCAGCTCTCGGTACCAACAGTACCTACTCATGAATGCTTGTGTTGCAGAAATCTTATGACTGCTGGAGAAGAACTATTGCAATCTTAATGAGAGGGTTTTCTTTGGATTCACTGAGGAAAATTATGAATAACTGCAAACATCCTTCTCTCCTTTCCATCTGCGTGGATGTGTGTGTAGTGGTGAATGCATGCTGTTGTTTATGTTAGTTCCATAGATTTTTTTTTACTAGGTTCCAAAAGGCCATCCAAAATACCAAAAAAAGCAACTGTAATAGTTTAGTACATATGAACCCATCGTCTGGGGACAACATTGCTGCTCTTGAAATATGAATCCAAAAACCATTTCACTAGCCTCAGAAACAGTATTGTACAATATAGTGTTATGCCTGCAAGAAGAGTGCTCTGAGCCAAATTTTAATTCCTAAATTGGAATTGCAGCATAAATGGGTTGTGTGTGTAGCTATATGCATTTCTTGAAACTTCAGAGGAAGAGGACTTTATTGATTTAAAATGACAGTATTTTGCATCTGAGGTACTCTCTTTCTAGTAGTGGGCATTGTTTATTTTTCTGAGCAGTTTTTCTGTTGTTATGACATGTAAAACTGCACTAGTAAAATGGGTGTATTTTAAAATCCTCATGAGAATTCCTTTCTCTCTCATGGTTTAATACCAAAATAATCAGTTGTACCAAGCATATGTATCCTTTGTATGAGAACCCAGGGCTTACATCCACATCAGACCTCATCTGCATTTTCAATCTGAATTTTGCAGCGCATGCTGTGTTATACACATTTCCACTCTGGCATGCCAAAATGGATGAATAACCAAGCAACAGCCACCTGGTTGCACTGAAAGGCTGCTGGTAACCAGGTGGCAGTTACTTGTATACACAGCCTGGCTGCCTGTCACTATGGGGAGTATTTCGTACATGAGTAACACACTTTTCACCTCTTTTTGCCTGTTTATGACACCTGTCTCTGACAGCCATGGAGAATTTTTTAAGTCCATTTCACTGAACAGGTTGCATTGTTCTTGGTTCACATAATAGCTGAGCCAAGTATGGATGATATTGCATACTCTGGGGTTATGAGAATCTCCATGATGACTGACAGAACTTTTGCATCAAGGTTTTTTATCTGTAGGCTTTTAAAAAAAAATTGTTTCTGAGTTGGAAGTTTCCTTAGAGAGTACTGTAAGTTTTCTTTGGGACAGTTTTATGTTTTTCATGTGAAGACATGTTCTGTCTTCATATGAGATCTGAAATAGTGCTCTCTTTAAGCATTCTGTGGATGGAGAAGGCAGCATAATTTTCCTTTGTGAATCATTTTACTTTTTGCTTTCCTATTTGTTTTGCAAGCAGTTGGTAGGAAAACACTCTTGTATTTTATGTTATGTTGCTGTGTCAAACTAATAACAGTATTGAATAAAAGATCTACTATCCAGTAACAAGTGGTGTTTAAAGCCCACTGCAGAGGATTTGGGAGTGAAGTGTGCAGCCTATGAGTCTTATTGAGTATATTTTGAAAATGGCATATTGTACAGATTACAAATGGAGTCAGATCCCATAGGATTTCCCTGTGTTTGCACCTTTTAATCCTGTCTAGTCATATAAATGAATCATTCCAAGAAATGTTTTGGATAATATGGTATAGCTGTGGATACTTCTCACACAATAGACAGGAAACAGGCACAGCTTTCAAAGCCAATTTTTATGGGTTGGTGCAAAACTGAGACGGTAACTGTAATAGAGAAACTGCAGGAGTAACTGCTTATTCTGTACCTTCTCCATACAGAAAAGATAAATAGGTTCATTTATTTTTTCACAAGTTCAACATACTGTGCAATACCAAGTCATCAACTTTGTTAGTGTCATTTACCCTGTGGTTGTAAGAATAGGTTTACTCATTCTGGAATGTAGTTGATTTATGTTCATCTGTTCACAGAGGACCCAGGTTAGCTTGGACAAATGTAAGGTTGTTTCATTTTGGGGAGAAAAGAATTGGGCAAAATGTTTAAGAGTAGTTGAGCAGAGCATATAATTTTCCAGACATTGAGTCATTCAACCTAGCATGGTCCACCAGTTTGACTTATATAAATAACATAAGTTAAAAATAAGTGCTAGGTATTTATAGGCTGTTGCTATATGATAAATTTACTATCCCCAGTGGGAGCACCCTTAAAGGTATAAGCTTTTGTAGGCTACAGGTGACTTAAGATGCTATGAATGGACTTGCAGGGGTACTAAATAGTTTAAATGTCATAATTTAAACACCAGGGATATGGACAGAGGGAGGATAGGATGGGATGGGGGAGGGGCAGGGGCAAATCCAGAGGTGGGTGTTAGTGTAGTTGCACTCCTCTTCAATTGTGTGATTGATGTGGTAGCGGCTCTGGTTCCCTGAGACTCTGGGCAAGGAACCGTACTCAGATTGGGGTGGGTGGTGTTGGGACAAGGTGCTGCTGGATTCCCCAGGCTGGTGGGGGACACCTGGGGAGAACAATCAGAGAGCAGTTGCAGAAATGGGGGGACCTGCCCACTTCTCCTGCCACTGTTGGCGGTGGAGCCCAGCCCGCCATGCAATAGCTTCCCAGAGTAGGGTAGGAGTGACTGTGTGGCGTTGCCCATCCCTGGGTCAGCTGGGGACAGTGGCAATGGTGGCCAGGTCCCCCTGTTTCCTGCACCTAATCCCAGTGGCTTCAGCTGAGGGCAGTGTCTGAGCAGGGTGCTGGGCTTCACTGGGAATGGCAGAGGCAGGGAGCAGGAATACCAATCTCAACCCCTGCCTTCCTCCTCCCTTCCCAATTTTCCCTGTCATCCCAGAGACACCAGCTGTGGGAAGCTACTCCTTTGGCTGTTTGGCTTAGCAGAGGACAGTACAGCTGCGGGCAGGTTCCCTCTTCCTGCCTCTGCTCTTTGTGGGTTAGGGTGGGAGGAAGAGGCATCCTGCCTGCCATTGCATGGGCTGCCAGGTTTGTAAGAAAACAGCAGCAACTAGAGCCCCTGAGCTGCCAAGGGATA